CAGAGAGGGAGAGGGGCTGTGTGCTGACAATCAGGGAGCAGGCTTGCAGGGTATACCCTTTGGTTGGTCGATGATGCATGAAGGGGATTGTAACCATGGCAATGAAACTATATACGATAGGATAAATGTAAAGCTAATGTTCTCCCATGTAAACTATCACATAATTCACAATAAAACATTAAACAAACAAACAAAAAAAAATGTGGCTTCCTGCTAAAATGTGTGAACTCCTGAGCCCATGGACCTAGCCACTGAAGGCTAGAGCTGAAAGCTGAGAAGTGGCCAGCTTGGTCTGAGTGTGGGGAGGTGTGCATGAACTCCCAAACTTGCAAATAGTACTCATTTGACCTAGCTTGGATAGCTAGCTGACCAGAACTCAACCAATGAAGATAAAGAAGTTTGATACTGTAAGCAAGTGTAAATTGCTACAATTTGATGCGCTGGATCTTTGCTTATGGATACAGTTGCTCAAAATCCTAACTGAAATGGAAGAATTCTTCATATCAATGATCAAGTTTGTTTCCTCAGTGCACTGGGGTGATTTGGTTGGCTGGTTAGGTATTGTGGAGTCAGTTTTGACTCAGAGCAACCTTGTATAGGGTTTCAAGGTTGTAAATCTTAACGGGAGCAGAAAGCCTCATCTTTCTCCCACGGAAACAGTGGGTAGTTTTGAACTGCTGGCCTTGAGGTTAGCAGCCTGACTCACAACCACTACTCAACCAGAACTCCTTACTGGGTTGATAGAAACAGGCAATTTAGACACTGGCTATCAAAAATGGGGAGCTATAATGGCATGAGGTGGCTGGTCTTTTCCAGCTTTCATGAGTGTGCTTAGTTTCAGAATGAAGGGGGTAAGGTAGATAGTTTTTCTCTTTTCCAGATGGATCTGGTGAAAGGGGATGGGAGATAATGGTAATAGGATTTTCAGTTGTGAGTAATGCTAATAGGATTAATCACAACTGTAATTGTAGATGATACATAACTAAAACTGGAGAGGAGTTAATCTTTCATCTCAGAAACAGAAGCTCTCAGAACAATCAAGAAGGAAGAGCATGAGTGGCATGAGAAAATACCCATAAAAGTGGCAATAGCAGAGACGGTGGCAGAGGCAATGGTATGGAGAGGTAGAGCAGCTGAGTACTCCAGGCTCACAGATTGAGAAAGGCTATGTGCCTGTGGGCAGCTGACTGGTCATTTAAATGTCCATATTGCAAAATGTGCCCTATGGACATTTAAATGACATTTTTTTGTTTTGTATGTATACATCAAATACTTTTGCTTTATTAATTCAGGAAATATAAGATGTAAAACGGAAGCAGGATATAACCTGTTACAGGGAGGAGAGTGTAATCATTGACATGAAACAAAATGATTAGTTGAAAGTAAAGGTGATGATTAAAAAACACTGTTAAAACAACAAAAAACAGTGGCAAAAAAAAACACAAAAAAACAGTGGCATCCAAGGGAACTTGCTGGGCCTATTCACTTCAGGGCAGAGAGGTCAGCTCAGAAGACATGGCAATTGTTTGGAGTTATGTTGACAGGTTTTCTCCAAGATCACAGGACAATCACGGTGTTTATTAGGAAGAAGTTTTAAGACGATGGAAAACTGCACTGGTGAGAAAGGGGCCAGTAAAGTTACACCGAGGATTTTTTTTTGCCATTGTGACAACGTACCTGCTCATTATTGGCGGGTAGCAAGGGCTCTCTTACGAGAATTTCACTGGAAACCCTTACATATCTACTACCCAGCCCAGATCTTGCCCCTTCAAACTTCTTTTTGTTCCCAAAACTCAAAGGACACTTCAAAGAAACACGAGACGAGTCTCTCAACGATATCCAAACTACTGTTTTGATGTGGTTTAAATCCAAGGGTGCAGAATTTTTCAGGGAGGGTAGAGAGATGGAAACGCCACTTTCAAAAAGTGTATGGACTTAGTTGGAGGTTACATTGAGAAACAATAGCTTCCCATTTTTATATATTTATCTTAACAAGGGAGCCCAGTGGCTCTGTAGGATAAACACTGAATTGTGACCCATAAGGTCGGCAGTTCCAGCCCACCAGTGGCTCCATGGGAGAAAGATGAGGCTTTCTGTTCCTATAAAGATTTACAGCTTTGGAAACCTTATACAGAACCAACTTGACAGCACTCAATAACATGACTTTGTAGAAGTATTTTTTTATTTCTCCTTCTATTCTCCACATCATTTTTATTTACAACTAGATTTGAGCAGTACTGTAAGAACTAATAAAGTATGAAAAAGCTATTGAATGTGGCTTGTAACTGTCAGATTTATCAAGTCATCAATATGGGATTTTTCATCTTCTATGTTTAGAAAGATGTACAAAGTGAGGCCTTGTTCATAAAATGTCAAGAAACCACTTCTTGCTGGACAACATTCCTCTGTTAAATTTTGCCTTATTTGTAGTGTATTCAATTTTGTTCCTTTACTTTGCTTTGACTTATGCCTTCAGAATTTTTTTTTTTTTTACTAATGGAGAACACAAAAAAAGCATTAAATCTATAAATAGCATACAGAATTTCTTTTATCTTCCTTTAAAATTAACAACATAACCCCTTCTGGATGCATGGAAATGCAAAGCTATTAAATTTAAGGCATTACATAGCAGAGGCAGCATAATTTTACCCTAAACTTCACAAAAACACATGGCCAACAGTTAACTGAACAGAAGTACCCACTCAAATAGAAGATATTCCCAGACCCTAGTATTTGAGGGAGGAGGTAAGGCCAAGACTACCTCACAGGGTACCAGGTTACTGCTACTTTCATGTGCTCTTTTCCAAAAGTGACTTTATATCAAGAACACAAAGAAAGGGTTGCTGGGGCACTGCAGAACAGGAGCATTCACACACAGAAGGGATTAGTGATACCCTGTTATAGACTATTACACCTGATGTGTGTGAATGACTCTGAAAAAGAGCCTTCACTTTGAGATTCTGCCTGCCCACCCCTCAGGCACACCCAGGTCACAGACACTTACCTGCATCGGGGATACAGCTGCTGCAGGGGGTGTTTTCATAGGGCTTGGGCTCAGAGGCGTTCGAGGCATTGCAGCAGCCGTAGGATTTGGCCCTGCACAAGTGACAAATAAACGAGGAAATCATGGATGTGCCCTTGAACAATGACAGCTTTCTCAAGTGGTCTCTATATAATGATTCTTCAGTGACCCAGGCTCTCTGTTCCCCTGGAAACCTACTGGAAGACGTCTGGGTACTTCCACTTCCTCTAGTGAGTCCTCTGTTTCCCCAGAGTAACCATGTCATTTACTTTTGTTATTATATCATAAGGAGCCCTGGTGGATAGGTGGATAGGTAGGTTAAGCATTGGAGTACTTGAAATATCATTGGTTTGGACATACCAACCACTCTGAGGGAGAAAGATGAGGTGGTTTACTCCTGTCAAGTTTTATAGCCTCAGAAAACCCAATGGAGCAGTTCTACTCTGTCCTGTAGCATCATTATGAGTTGGAATAAACTCAATAGCTGTGTGTCTGGTTTTTGATATGCTACAAGAAACCCTGGTGGTACAGTAATTAAGTACTTGGCAGCTAACCAAAAGACTAGTGGTTTGAACCCACCAGTTGCTCTGAAGCAGTCCGCATCTATAAAGATTTACAGCCTTAGAAATCCTCTGAAGCCATTCTACTCTTATCTTATAGGTTTAGAGTCAGAATTGACAGTAGTCAGTTTTCAATTGTATCATGGAGCTTAAGGATTCCATAAACAATTGAAATTCAAATACAAAATTAAAGCAAAGTGGAGTACGTCTACAGTGTATTATATAAATAGTTTGGCAGGTCATGGATGCTCAGTAACTATATTACAACAAGAACAAACCCCTGCGAATCTCTCCTCGTGCCACACACAGGTACTTCTAACACATGCATATGTGACTACTGCTTCAATGTCAGTCTCCCTCACAGTCTGAACAAGTCCAAAAACAGAATCCAAAGTTGATTCCTTTCTATAGTCTCAGGCTTCTTAGCACAGATCTCACTAAGGGTACTTACATATGGTTTTTCATTTAGTGCTGATGTAATCCCAAAGAAAGAGTATCTTCAGAAACCATATATATATCTGACAACTTAATAAAAAATATAAAATAATAATAAAATCAATATGTGGAAAAATTCTATTGTCTTTCAATTACATTTTCTACAAACTTTTGAAACCTCCTAATATAAAACTTCAACAACTTAATATAAAGACAAATAACCCAATCATATAATGGGCAAAGGACTTGAACAGACGTTTCACCAAATAGGGCCGTCAAATGGGCAGCAGATACATGAAATGATGCTCAGCATCATTTTAGCCATCAGATTCAAAACCAAACCCACTGCCATCGAGTCAGTTCTCATTCATAACAACCTTTAAGGACACAGGAGAACTGACCCAAAGGGTTTTCAAGTCTTAAATCTTTACAGATGCAGACTGCCACATTGTTTCTCTTGCTGGTGAGTTCAAACTGCTGACTTTCAGTAAGTACCTGAGCACTGAACCACTGTGCCACCAGGACTCCTCATGAGCCATCCAAAAGATGCAAATCAAAACCACAATGAGATATCACTTCACTCCTACTAGGGTGACTAAGATTTTTTTTTAAATGTTGGTAAGAATATGGGGAGATTTGAACCCTTATCTGTTTTTAAGGTGCCCTGGTAGCATAGTGGATTACGAGCTGATCTGCTAACTGCCTATACAAAATAATGGATAAACAACATATGGTACATACATACAATGGAATACTACTCAGTGAGTAAGTGAAATGAAATCGTATTTCACTGAGTGAAATAAGTCAATTATAAAAGTCAATTACATCATTGCAGTGAAACGATGAGTGTAAAACCAATATTTTCCCATGTAAACTATCACTCAATTCACAATAAAAACTTTAAAAATTTAAGAAAGTAGATGAGGAACCCAGGCCAGAAATGGGGAACCCCAGGTGGAAATGGGGATATTGCTGACATATTGTGGGGAATGTGTCATGGAATATTTTACCTATAAACTATCAAAGGGGAAACTAATTTGCTCTGTAAACTTTTCCATAAAGCACAATTTAAAAAAATTACTACTCAGTAAATACTAATGATTATAACTTTTTTTAAAAAATCAATTACATATATTATATCATATGATCTCTCTTACATAAAGGACTCCTGGTATGGCACTGTAGGATTAGCACTGGACTGAGAACCGCAAAGTTGGCAGTTCAACCCTATCAGCTGCCCCTCAGAAACCCTGTACAGGGTCACTATGAGTCAGAATCGACTTGGTGGCACTTAATAACAACAAACATTGTATAAAAAGATTAAAAAACAGCAAATGTTTCAGTTCAAGTTTATCAGTGTTGGTGAGGGGGGAAGGAAGGAGGCAAGGAGTTGGAAAAGCAACACCAATTAAGGGGAGGGTCACATACTCAACCTATTGTTATATACCAGACAGCAATTACTGTAATTGTTGTCAATTAGCTACATACCTGCAAAACGTTGAATTGCAAGTTATATGATAGATGTATTTACCACAACAACAACAACAGCAAAAAAAGGGTAGCTAATGAAATTGCTTATGTACAACCAAATACTTCATGCAATTTGGTTACTTAGTTTGCAGGTTGAGGGTCATGGTTTGATGGGACATTCTAGTTTATTGGCTTAATAACATACTTAGTGCTTCTATTTCCTAGTGCATTGTGTAATTGTCTCAGGTCTTTAAAGCATACTAGCAGCCATCCAACACACAACAATTGGTTATCTATTCACTTGGAGCAACAAAGGAAGAAGGATCAGGAATAGTTGAGGCAATGGACTCCAGAATCTGCCTCTTTTGCCACGAGACCAGAAGAACTACATGGTGTCTGGCTACCATGACTGAAGACTTTGACCAATTCCATAGAAGAATCCTGATCAAAAGGGATAAAATGCAGAACAGAATTTCAAATTCTCATGAACTCCAGACTTTCTAGAGACAAGAAGGCAGAAAAACTGAAACTATTACCCTGAGATAATTTTTTTTTTTTTTTCAATTGTGGTTTACAGAGCAAATTCGTTTTCCATTCAACAATTTATACACATTTTGTTTCATAACATTAGCTTCAATTCCCCCTATGTAACAACACTCTTTCCACTTTTTCCCTGGATTCCCTGTATCCATTCTTCCTCCTCCTTTCCCGCCCCTTCCTGCCTTCTGAGCTCTGTTTTGGGGCAAATGCTGCCATTTTGGTCTCTTATGGTCAATTGTTCTGAAGAATACATTCTTTATGACTGTTATTTTTCACTTTATATGTCTCTCTGTTATTTGGCTGAAAAGTGCTCCCCAGGGGTGAGTTTAGTTTCAGGTTTGAAGGGTGTCTAAGGGCCAGAGTCTTGGGGGTTCCACCAGTCTCTATCAGACTAGTTAAGTCTGATCTTTTTAGATTTTGAATTTTGATTTACATTTTTTTCCCCACTCTGTGATCCGATCAGAGTGTCTTCTGTGGCACCATGAGCCAGCTGGTGGTGGTAACTGGGCACCACCTAATTCTTCTGGTCTCCGGGTAGTAGGAGTTGTGGTTACCTAGTCTATTAATCCTTTGGGCTACTTGTTTCCTTGAGTCTTTGATTTTCTTCATTCATCTTTATTCCACATGGAAACAGATCAACAGGTTGCATATTAGATTGTCTCTCCCAAGCTTTTAAGACACTGGTTGTTTATTCATCACAGTAGGATATAGAACATTGCCTTCGTGAACTATGTTATGCTAATTAACCTACATGTCCTCCAAGACTGTGGTCCTAAGCCCTTAATGATTCATTCCATCAAGTTGTTTGGTTATGGCTAAGAAGTTTCCATAACTTTGCCCTGTTTGCTCAGTACTATATAAATTATATATTTCTACATATGTAGAAATCTCCTCTGTCAAAACGATGCATGCTCATGTGTGCAGTTCTATTTTCCAACCCATACCTGTTCAGTTTGCATTACTGCCTACATATCCACATGTAGATTAGTTTGTTATTACTGCTATTGCAAAACTGTGTAAAGTGTGTAATAGGAGTTACCTCTGTTGTCTGTAACTCTTTTGTGCCTCTCGTGACTTACTTTGCCTTCGTCATAATGTGCTGACCTCCCCCTGATTGTACACTGCCTTTCCCATCACCCAAGTTAATACATATTTATTCTGTAGTGATATTCTCTCCCTTGCCCACTCATCCCTGGCAATCATCAAAGAACATTTCTTTTTGTGTTTAAACCTTTTCTTGACAATTTATAATTGGGCTCTCAAACACTATTTATCCTTTTGACTATTTTCACTCAGTGCAACGTCCTCCAGATGCATCCATGTTATGAGTGTTTCCTCGCCATTCTTTAAGGTACCTAGTATTCCACTGTGTGTATACATCAGCTTGTTTATCCAGCCAGCTTTTGATGGACACCAGGTTGCTTCCATGTGTTTGCTATTGTGAATAATGCTTTCATGAACATGAGTGTGCATATGTCCATTTGCTTTATAGCTCGTATTTCTCTTCCATTAATACTGGTAGTGGGATCCTGAGATACTCTTTATGAACTCTAAACTCTTGAAGTTTTCTTAAAAGCAAACAATAGTTTACCTTAACTAGTAATAAAGGTCTGCCTTTTATGAACTATCTATATGAGATCAAAGTGACAACAGCACTTGAAAGTTTAGAAAGGAGCCTTAGAAGGCAGTGAGATAATGTTAAAGGAGGAGGAACAACTCAGAAAAGCAGGTAGAGAATGGCTGCCAAACTTGAAGAACACTGAATTGTTTATACAGAAATTGCTAAGTTGGTATGTGCTTTGCTATGTATATTCTCAACAACAATAAATAAATAAATAAATAAAATGTAGGGAAAAAACAAGTAAGTTATGGGAATCTGTATGAACTTCCGAGTGGGAGACTATGCCTTTCTGATGGGTTTAAGGAACAAAATCTCTGTGAATCAAAATATCTGAAGTTAACAGACTCTAAATCTCATATTAAAATTTACCTTTCACAGAAACTAACTCATTAATAGTATATGATGTCTGATGAAACTAGAGAGTGAGGTGATGAGTATCAGACCAGACCAGAGAACATATGAGTGAATACAGTATCTGCCCTCGGCATAACATGGAAGAAAGTACCTTGAGATGCACTGTCGAAGGACTTGATGAGGGTTTTGACAGTGGGGGTTGGCTCTGAGGATGTTGAGGACCTCCGACTCAGTCCCATCCCTTGCCGCAGGGCTGCCAGATCTCTCTCAACAGCATTCATGTAATTATAGACCCGGCCGCGCTCCTCCTCTTGTCTGGAAACATGGAAATCAGAGCATTCTTAAGTGTGCACTGGAAGATGCACATCTTCCCCTCCCAACTGGAAAGCATTGGGAAGTATCCGCTAAAAACACAAAACAGCAGGACCCGTAGGGCTGAATCAAGTATCTAATGCTCTTGCTCACTCGGCACATTCCAGGAAACAGTTTTTATGCTTTTCTATCAAGTTATCCTAAGGAGCTCTGGTAGCGTAATGGTTACGAATCGGGCTGCGAGCCGCAAAGTCAGCAGTTCAAAACTACCAGCGGTCCCGTGGTAGAAAGATGAGGCGGTCTGCTCCCATAAAGATTTACAGTCTCGGAAACCCTGTACAGGGTCGCTGTGAGTCGGAACCGACTCCATGGCACATAACAACAACAACATCAGGTTATCCTAAGTCAGTTGTTGTTGTTAAGTGTCGTCAGGTCGATTCTGACCCATAGCGACCCTGTATAGAGTTTCCAAGGAGAAGCTGGTGAGCTTGAACTACCAAACTTGCAGTTCAAATGACTTTGCAGTTTGACGTAGTAGCCCACAGCGCCACACCAGGACTCCAGTTAGTCAGTTAAGTAGCATAAAATCCCATTTTCTCTGCGTCAGTGTAAGGTGAGGACACAAACAATCAACAAGCAGAGACATGGGAGGCAACCTGGCCAAAGGTTCTGAGTCAGAGTCGGAGGTCTGGTATGGCAAGAGGATGGCCTTTCCCAGAGGGCATGTGTGCTACCAGCACATCTGCAGGAGCAGCACTGGACCTATAGACAATGCCCTGCACGTAAGGAAGGAAAGTAGAACCCATATTCTTAGATAAGCAAAACAAGAATGCTGCTGTCTCCCACCAGAATTAGAACCAAGATAATAGGCACAGACACCCAAGTTAGTAATGTGACTCCCTGCAACAATGCAGTGTGACAGATCTCCAATAATCTAAAAAACCAATTCCATGTTCTTTCTGGCCAGCTTTAATTTGCCAAGAGGACAGACACAGAGCTTGAGTTTGAAATGAGATGACAGATGCAGATTTTGTATGTGTCATGTAACTATCAGAGAAATTTACAGGGGGACATAAATTGTGCTAGGCCTTAGGAAACTTTGTCTTGGGTGCCCATCGGATCTCCCAACAGGGCTTTTTTCTCCAGTAACACCACAGGGTTTCACACACAGCTGCTGTCAGAATCAGATGTGAATAAAGAATCAACAACCCAAAGCCCACATCAGATGCCTTAAACAATCAACAATGTCTATCGAACTTTTTAAGTCCTGGGGCCCCTTTACACTCTTATTGAGTTGTGATTACTGAGGACTCCAAGTGCTTTTGTTTCAATAGATTACAACTTTGACTTTTACTAGGGTAGAAATTAAAATGCCTAAAGTATTTAATTCAATAAACAATAAACCAAGACATATTAGTACAAATAACATGTTTATAAAAAAAATTACTATAAAAGGGAACGTCCAAAAGCCTGGGGGAAAATGGAGTTAAAAATCAACGGCATTCTTTGTTTGGTTGATGATGCATGGAGGGGATTGTATCCATGGCAAAGAAACGATATACAATAGGATGAATGTAAAGCTAATGTTCACCCATGTAAACTATCACACAGTTCACAATAAAACATTTTTTTTTTTTAATTAATGGAATTTTTCTAAAGACCAGGCTTACTGGTCATAAAAAGACTGGAGGAACCTGAGACTATGGACCTTGGTTATCTTTCAGGTCTAGAATGGAACTCACCCTAGTGGCCCAATTTTCAGTTAAGCAGTAGATAGGTATATAGGGCGACATCAACACTAATAAGATATACTCACCATGGAATGGTCAACCATTCAAGATCAAAAGGACCATATTTACCTATGGACAAAGTTGAAAAGGGATGGGAAGGAGGGTGGAATAGAAATAGGAACCACAGGGAGGAAGTTGAGATGAAACCATTGAATGTAAAACTGATGATCTTCCAGGTAAATCTTCACTCAATTCACAATAAAAAGTTTCAAAAAAGGAATTAAGGAATTTTCCACAAACTTTTTAAAGCCCCTCATATCTTCTAAAACCAAGGCATAGTGAGAAGAATGGCAATGATTACATTCTTGAAAATCTCTTTAATGCCTGGCTTCACAGAACACAACTTGGTTTTCTTTTAGCTTCTGCATCTAGTCTGCTGTTCTGTGAAAAGCAGCAGAACTCACAGAGATATGCAACTGGAAAAGGGCAGAATATGTTATTAGCCTGTCCAGATAACTGAGGCTAGCTTCTGTGATACTACACCAAAACTTGTCACCTACGGTTTGTTGCAATTTGGAATCTAAAACCTTATCCATGAACTTTCCCTACTCCATCCACTACAATCCTTTGATAAGTTGTGTATTTTGAATGGATTTCCACTCACACATGATTTTGGGACTTCCTGCATTGGTCATATATTGGGAATGAGTTTTATACCAGTAGAGAAAGAATCATCATCTTTCTCACAGTGTTCTGCTTTAGCGATGCTTTTCTCTATATTGAATAGTAGTCAGATAGCAATAAAGATTACTTTCAAAAACACAGTTTTTTTAAAAAACAACAACAACACTGTTTTATGTTTTCCTAAATTTTTTTCCTACATCTACTAAAGTAGTGGAGTTCTGGTGTGACACTGTGGGCCAATGCACCAGACTGCAAAGTCATTTGAACTGCAAGGTCGGTGGTTCAAACTCACCAGCTGCTCCTTGGAAACCCTATACAGGGTCGCTATGGGTCGAAATCAACTCGACGGCTCTTAACAACAACAACAACACTGAAGAACTGGAGTCCTGCTGTGGCGCTGTGGGATAATGCGCTGGACTGCAAAGTCGGTTTGAACCTTAAGGTCAGTGGTTCAAACTCACCAGCTGCTCCTTGGAAACCCTATACAGGGTCACTATGGGTCAGAACTGACTCAACAGCACTTAACAACAACAAGTGAAGAATTACTGAAAGTAATAAACACAAGCATTACAACCCCCCACTCTTAGATGGAGTCTCACCAAAGAGGTCTGTGCATATCATACAAATGCCAACTCATCTAACCATTTTTACAAGTTTCCACTGGTCTCTATGTGAGATGGGAGAAGTACTACCCCAGGCATGTATGTAATATAAAAGAGAACAAGAGAAGATTTCTGAGTGATGGGGAGGAAGCACTTTGTGTTCTTTACTATGGTGTCTAACACACTTGCTAAAGTATGCTGGTCATGGTCTTACGCACTTCACAGGCAAGATCGAATGCAATCTTAGCATTGCTGTGAAACGGGGATTTCTCAATTCTTAAGAGGAGAAAATGGAAGCTTGGGAAGATTTAGGACCTAGTCCAAGATCATACAGCTAGCTGGAATGGGGTGAGGGTTTGTCTCTGGAACCCCGATCTCATCGCAAGCCTATTCTTTGAAGCAAAGTAACAGGCTGGAGTGTGGGGCATGGGAAGGAGAGGACTGTTGTTTGCAACTGAGCATGACAGGACTAGAGCCATGCTGGCAGCCCACTTTTCAGGTGTCATAAAACACAGCCCAGACAGGTGAAGTACTATCCACTGGATCCAAGCTCAGTCATGCCTCACTTTTTCTCCTAACACCCCCTCACAAACCAGGGACTGATTGGAAACATAAACACACAGCATACTTGCGTGACTTGATCTCCTCCAGTTCTTTTGTAAGTTTCTCATTTTTTTCTTGAGCCTCATGCAGCCGGCGCTTCAGGTCTCCAATCTCCTCCTGGGCTTCAGACTTAATGTCATTTGCAATGACGACCGCAGTCTGGAGGTCAGCCTGAAATTGCCGCCATTCCGCAGATTCCTCCTAAGTTCAAAGAGCACATTTTTACTTGCAGAAGAGAGTGAGAAGGTAGCTATTTAAAAGCAATACTGCTTGTTTATGATTAGATTATTGATTACTGTAGAGCGACTGTACTCCACAAATGACTTTTTACCCATTTCTAATGAGCAATGCCACTGTTATTGACTTTATTCTGAACAAAGGAGCCCTGGTGACACAGTGCTTAAAGCACTCGGCTCCAAACCAGTCACTCCATGGGAGAAAGACGTAGCAGTTGGCTTCCATAAAGAGTTTAGGAAACCTTAGAGGACACAATTAGTTTCTGTCCTATAGGGTCACCATGTCACTATGAGTTGGAATGGACTTGATGACAACAGGTTTGGTATGGTCTTAGTTCTGGTGGTAGAGTGGTTAAGCACTTGACAGCAAACCAAAATGTTGGTAGTATGAACACAACAGTCAGTTTCCGAAGGAAAAAGAAGTACAGTCTGTTTCTGTAACGGCTGTAGCACGGGAAACCCTATGGCCTAGTTCTACTCCGTTATATAGGGTCATTACGAATCAGAATCAACTCAACAGCAATGGGAATTTAACGGGTAAACTTAAATGAAAGAATTGCTGGTGGTGCACTGGGATAAGCTTTGTGCTGTTAAACACAAGGTTGGCAGTTTACACTCACCAGCTACTCTGTGAGAGAAAGATGAGGCCGTCTGCTCCCATAAAGAGCTACAACCTCAGAAATCCTGATGCAGTTCTATTCTGTCCTATATGGTTGCTATCAGTCGGAACTAACTGGAGGTAGTGAGCTTGTTTTCTGGTTTGCTCTTAATGAGTAAATGATCTTCCTGCTGGCCAGCCTGCTAAGGCACTGGACCCTGGGTGCTAAGTAAATATTAACGAGGAGGACACCAAGCCGCCCTTCCTCCTGCAATTTCAAAATCAGTCTTCTGAAAATAAACACATTATAATCCACAAAGCTGTACCTTTGAGAATCTCAGGAAGGTGCATAAATGGGGTGTGAATTAGACTAAAAGGTCTTAACAGTGACAAACTAAAAATAGTCTGGCATCAAAAACTAACAGGAAAAAAAATCAAAAGTAAAGGAAGAGGAAGCAAGAAAACAAAAAACCCACTATATCCGACAGTGACAGAATCCAAAGGGAGGCGGTGAGGCACTGAGCGCCGACTGCCCCCACAGTCCTGGAGGATGCATGTGCATCCTCCCCCACAGAGGGAGCCACAGTGCTGGGCCACACTGAAGCACCTCCCCACACCACAGCAGTTCTCAAATAGGTGGAGCAGCCAAACCACGAGATGAGCATCTCCCAACCTGAGTCGATTTCCATGCATGATGACCCCATAGGACAGAGTAGAACCGCTCCACAGGGTTTCCAAGACTGTCAATCTGTATAGGACAGACTGCCTCATTTTTTGCTCATAGGGTGGCTGGTGGGTTTGAACTGCCAACGTTTCAGTTAGTAATCCATTGCACCACCATGGTTGCTACAGCTATAGGAAAACAGGTCAAATTCAAAGGAGGAAGAAACCTCTTGTGAAAACAGTTTTGCAGGAGACATTTTATAGTTGAGTTAATATACTTGGATTTATGTAAACTCAATTCCTAAATTCATCTTCCTAAAATTTTCAGAGCCCACCTATACTCACTAACAGAGTCTTCTTCCTGGAATCGGGTAGCAGCCCGAATCTGTGGCAGTGTCCTAACTGCATTTAAAGAGGCATGAGACTAGATGGTCTGACGACTTAGGAGCCCTGGTGGTGCAATTGGTTAAGAGCTATGACTGCTGATAAGAAGGTTGGCAGTTCAAGCCACTAGCCACTCCAAAGGGGAATGATGAGGCAGCCTGCTTTTGTAGAAATAGATTCTGTACTATAAGGCTGCTGTGAGCCAGAACTGACTGGCTGGCCAGGGGTTTGGTTCATTTGGCCTGTCTCCACCTCAACACCAAGAAAGCTGGAGGTAAAATGCGCGGATTCAGCCTACCCGCAGTCTCCTGTGGAGTGTCTTGATCTCTCTCTCCATATCATGTTTTTGATCCTGGAGTTTTTTAACCGTATCTGAAAAGACCACAAACATTTACATGTTTATTGCTAGAACTCTCTGTGTTCAAAAAGAATACTCTTAAAGGGAAAGGTATTTAAACATGACAGAGGAAACAAAGTCCAAAAACTTCAAAAGAAAAAAAAAAATGTTCAATCCAAGTCATTTTCAGTTTTACTTTCTAAGGAAAACATCATTTCAGTTATCATTTCTAGTTCACTGTCTTCCTTAGTATCTTAATTCTGAAAGAAAAAATGAAAGTCAGATCGATTGCTAGAAACTCACATATTATCAACATGCAATCAATCAAAACAACACAAACTACTATCCAACAGTGAATTATTAATCACCATGGACTTATGCAGGCAAAATTTACATATTAGAATAAATCCCATTCAAGTGGAGAATTAGCACAATTAATTACTACTAATTTTTACACATTTCTCTATCTAAATTCTATACAAGAGCTTTTTAAGAAAATAAAAATATATTTATAAAGTAAAACAATAAAACAAAACAAAATCACTGCAGTCAAATTGATTATGACTCACAGCAATCCTACAGGGCAGAGTAGAACTACCCACAGAGTTTCCAAGGCTGCAAATCTTCACGGAAGCAGAGTGGCCAGTGAGTTTGAACTGCCATCCTCATGGTTAGCCGTCCAGTGCTTAACCCAATGTGTCATCATAGTAGTGTTATTCTTGGACTCTGGAACCCCTAGAGTCGGCTTCCTCTTCCAAGTCGTCCTAAAGTGAGGGACACTGCCATCTACTGTCAACTCAAAAGCAACACTACATTCTACCAAAGAACACAACCACAGCTTTTCTGACACATTATAACTCTACTCTTTCAATGTGGTTTTCGTTCTAGAGATCAGGTTACGCTGCTTCTCATTGTTTGTAGGCCATTTTTGCTCTGTACCCTTCTGAGTGTGGTCTTGCCTGTTGTTCACCACCCCTAAGGACCCAGCTCTCCAGACAAACTAGCAAAGCAATGACCAGCAGACCTCACCTCTGGTCCTGCGTCTATGTCCACAAGCAAGCACAGGGTCAACCTAGGACTCCTGGGTGACTTAAAACAAGGAGCATTCATATGCAATCTCTCCTACCCTCTGGAAAACAGTTCAACCTCCAGAACCATGGTCTCACTAGATTTAAGTACCTGCAAGCAATTTTTAGAGAAAGTGCACTGAGAAGAGTAGATGATATTCTAAGATGTAGCAAACCAAGGCAGGTAGGGGCAGCAGCGTACTCAAACCATTGCTTTACCATATCAGAAGGTCAGACAGGTAAGTGTCAAAGGAAATGACTTTACAACATGTTTTTTTATCTCACTCTCCCATATTATTATTTATTATTTTATTTTCTAACTATATTATATTATTTTCTAACTCTAAAAGTAACGTATATTTATCTTGGAAACAGATGAAGATAAAAATAAAATTACCCACTGTTTGTACTTGCCCTTTAATTCTTCCAGACTTCATAGTTGTATTTTTAAAGAAAAATAGGATTATGCTAGTTATATTGCTGCATAAATCCTCTACTTCTCAGTAGATAGATTATGTCAGTTTGAAGACTAAGGGGCACCTGACCCAAGCCATGGTATTTTCAATAGCTCCATATGTATGTGAAAGCTGTATAATGAATACGGAAGACTGTAGAAGAATTGATGCATTTAAGTTAGGATGTTAGAGAAGACTATTAAAAGTATCATGGACTGCCAGATGAACAAACAGATCTGTGTTGGAAGAAGTACGGCCAGAACGCTCCTTAGAAGCCAGCATGGTCAGACTTCGTCTTTCATACTTTGGGCATATTATCAGGAGGGACCAATCCCTGGAGAAGGACATCATGCTTGGTAAAGTTCAAGGTCAGCAAAAAAGAAGAAGACCCTCCCAATGACATGGATTGGCACAGTGGTAGCAGCAATGGACTCTAAAGTAACAATTGTGAGAATGGCGCAGGACCAGGTAGAATTTCTTTCTGTTGTGCATAGGACCACTATAAGCACCTAGGACCACTATAAGTCAGAACTGACTTGATGGCACTTAACAATAACATGGGTCTCTTTGCCAATATATCCATGCTGAGAGCTATAGCAATCCATCACTAGGATGTATCATGACTTACTTTATCAGCCTCCTATTAATGAATGCTTAAGATGGTTCCAACTTCCCATCACAAAACACAGGCAATATCTTTGTACAGTTGATTCAGTATTACTTGAAGATATATCCCAGATGTTGAAAAATTGGGGAAACTCAACAGGACCCAAATCCATCCATTGAAAGAGGCTAAATCAAAATTTTTCAATCACCTCATACAAGGGGGCTTCAAAGAGTTTGTGGAAAAATGGAATTGAAAGTTAATGGAATATTCCCATATTTTGAACCTCCCTCATACATACAAAAGCTGTACAGTGAATAAGGAAGACCACAGAAGAAGAAATTATGTCTTTCAATGTTGACATTAGCAAAAAATATTGAAAGTACCATGGACAGCCAGAAGAACAAACAAATCTTAGTGTAACTGGAATTCTCCTTAGAAGCCAGGATGGCAAGACTTCATACCATGTACTTTGGACATGTCTCAGGAAGGACCAGTCTCTGAAGAAGGGCCATGCTTGGTAAAGTGAAGAGTCAGTGAAAAACAGAAAGACCCTCAGCAAGATGAAGTGACAGTGGCAGCAACCATAGACTCAAGCATGTAACTATTGTGAGGATTGGTGCCTAACAACAAAATAACAACTCAGTATACTGGTTTTTTGTTTGTTTTTGAGAATTTCACCAAGTTACAGATACATACAAGGAGCTCTGGTAGCGTAGTGGTTACGAATCGGGCTGCAAACCTTGAGGTCAGCAGTTCGAAACTACCAGCTGTTCCACGGGAGAAAGATGAGGTGTTCTGCTCCCATAAAGATTGACAGCCTCAGAAACCCTGTACAGGGTCGCTGAGTCGGTTCCGACTCCACGGCACATAACCACCACCACCACCACCACAGATACATACACAATGTATCTATGATACACTGAAATCAATATATTTTACGGAACATTAAACCTGCCTACTATTTTATTGTAATGTTATATCGGTTTTTTAATTACAAAGGTAGCACATTCATACTACTGATATCTTGCATTAGATCACTTCTCTTTGCCAGGTGCACTTGGGAAATGGCAACCCATTGTGGGGTTATTAACTAGATCCCAGCTGCAAAGACTCATGCAGTTTCCAAGTTCATAAGCAATGTTGCAACTAACATCGATATCTATGTACTACAGGCATGCATCACTTTAATATCAACTCTGGTCACATCTGACTGCATATATGTCTGTGTTCCCGTAATGGTCAGAAACCCTGATCAGCGATAGTGGATATACTTTGTTTCTCACTAGCTTTCCTGGTCCCAGATGCACCCAGGCCCTAGGGAAGACAGGAGTAGGGAAAGAAGTCCTGGCAGTACCCATCGGGTCTACCCGTGTTTACCTCAAACAAGGACCACTCAGATGTTGCCAGAGCCTCTGAGGCTGCTCTTCAACGTGGGCACCCTGTGTGTAATGCCCAGGTCCAAGGCTGTGACTCCTCCCTCTGTGGCACCCAACAGACTGTGGCAGAGGAGGGAGGAGGGCCAGGAAAGGTAGATACAGCAGAGAAGGGCCAGGCAGGGCTAGGAGAATTTAAAGTCCATTAGGTGGAGCAGCAGGGAAAAGAGAAAGAGAAGGCATTAATTTTGTTTCTGCAGGCTCGTTGGCTCTACTTCCTTCTGCTGTTTTTCTTCAAGTATTGATTCATTCACAGGCTCAGTGGGTCCTGGTAAGTTTTTCTTATTTATAAAGGGCAGAATAATTAATCCTAGTGACTTCTGTGCATCTCAACCACTGGAAAAGCTGCTGTCCTCCTCTCGGGCCTCCGCTAAAGCTTACACACAGTGACACATACTACATGTGGGCTTCCCTACTCAGACTGCAGATGTAGGTATACAGCATGCTGGGTCCTTCTCCTTGGGACCACTGGCAGTGACCACAGGCCCAGTCTACTTCTCCTTCTGACCCCAAGTTCAGGCTAGAAGCTCATAATAT